TCTGCTCCAGGCTGAACCCCCCCAGCTCCCCCAGCCGCTCCCCAGCAGCCTGGGGCTCCAGACCCCTCCCCAGCTCCGCTGCCCTTCTCTGGACGTGTTCCAGATACTGGTGCACCTAAACCATCCACTTTTACTGGGTTGTTTCCTTTGGATTTATTTCCTCAGATTTTTTAAAACTCAGCTGTAAAAATGTGTGTACGGGGATGATGCTCAGCAGCATTTTGAGGATATTGGAGGAAGCAAAGATGAGCTGCAGCTGGCTGGTCGGTTGGGGTTGTTCCCTCATGCACTAGAAAGTCAATGATTTCATCATGAGCATCTTGCTGAGCTTCCCCACTGCAAGCCAGTCAACCAAGGCCACCCCTGGGTTAGGGATGGGTGGCATCTACCTACTGGAAACAACCAAGGTGATCAGGACGTTTAATGATTTGCCCTGGTCACGTTGGTGGAAGAGCTGTGTGTAACTCAAGCTACTGCCTTGTCCTCTCCCCACTGAAGGTGCCGACTCTCTGGACTTGGTTACGTTCATCAGATAAGGGGGATGCTGTATTTACCATCCTACTATGGGCATTGTGAGGCTTCATTAATGTGAGCAAAGAGCTCCGAGGTTTCTGGATGAAAGGCACTATGGAAGTGCAAAGTATTATTTATTTTCCAGGGACTACAGAGCTGTCATAACCATAAAGATTTTTATTTATGCCGTATTGTACTTCCCAGGCTGGCAATAAAAGCCCTGTAAAAGTCACTCCTTTTATTTCCATCGCAATCTATCTTAGCCTCTCGGCTCCAGCCGCTGTTGGTGAATCACCATGCACGAGGGGCCATGAGGGAGCAGCCTGGGCCAGGGCAAGGGCTGGGTGGGAACGCATCTCATCCAGCAGCAGCTTTGTCATATTGGCATGACAACATAACACACCGACGTCAAAAAAAAGTCTCTCTGTGAGAAGAGCCTTTAAAATGACAATCTTTGTAGCCGTTACTGGGATAAGAATATTCTGAGTTCCTCTGGCAGAAGATGTAACGGAGGAGAAAGGTTGCTGGGGATGGTGATGAATTTAGGCTTGCAGACCAGAGAAGGCATCCCCAAGTTCCAAGACCACCAACCCTAGCCATCTGCAAACAGCCTGGAGAAACTGCTACTGCAGCAACCCTACAGCTCCCATGGCAAGCTGGAGCCTTCCACTTTGGAGACCTTCATTCTTTGAGACTCCAAGCAGTGAAGAATTCACCCAGCCCCCGGGTAAGTCCTGCTGCTGGCTAGCATGCCCTCACTTGAACCTTGCTTTGGCTGCAGTCTTCAAGTGTGTTTCCCGAGAAGGTAGTTTCCCTTTTAACTTTCTTCTTCACGATTAACTCTTCCATAGAAAATTGGATGTGCCGTGATCTTATGGTTTAGCACAGGCATTAGAAAGCATTTTCAGGGGTGGTACCCACTCTCAGTGACCAAATTGTGCACTGGCAGCCCAGAAGGCCAACCGTACCCTGAGCTGCATCAGGAGAAGCATGGCCAGCAGGGCGAGGGAGGGGATTCTGCCCCTCTGCTCTGCTCTGGGGAGACCTCCCCTGGAGCCCTGCGTCCAGCTCGGGAGCCCTCAGCACAAGGAGGACATGGACCTGTTGGAGCGGGGCCAGAGGAGGGCTACTAAAATGATCCGAGGGCTGGAGCCCCTCTGCTCTGGGGCCAGGCTGGGAGAGTTGGGGGTGTTCAGCCTGGAGAAGAGAAGGCTGCGGGCAGAGCTGAGTGCGGCCGGTCAGGGCTTCAAGGGGGCCCAGAGGACCCAGAGAAGTAGTGGAGGCCCCATCCCTGGAAACATTCAAGGCCAGGTTGGATGGGGCTGTGAGCAACCTGATCTGGTTAAAGGTGTCCCTGCTCCCTGCAGGGGGATTGGGCTGGGTGACCTCTGGAGGTCCCTTCCAACCCAAAACATTCTATGATTCCATGATTCTAAATTATTCTCCCCTCCCACTAAGACACCCTCAACACCCAGAGGTGCCACACCTGCCACAGCATCCTATACGATCCCTCACAGCAATGGTACAGAGGCCATCATTAGATGAAGTGCCTTAGTTTTCTTGCCAATCTTCTCATCCAGCAAGGATCTGCTCAGCAACACATGTTGTTCTGTGGTCCTCTGCTCAGGTCCCTGCACCCAGCATCAGGAAGAGCTCTCCTCATGCTCCCTAGATGTCATCTCACTGCTCAAACATAGCCCATCCTTGACTAAGAGGAGGTAGTTTGGAGCTGGCAACCTGCTCTCCTGAGGCTGTGGTTGGGTTATCACCTAGTTAACCAGGCTTGACTTGGGCTTCTCCTGCAGCCAAACACCTCATGGTTAATTCTGTGTGGCATCTTTGATGTCTAATAGCTTAGAATCGTACTGAACTTTCTTCATTACTAAGGGCTGTGGTTTGAGTCTTCTTCATCATTTATTTTCCCAATCACATATTTTCACTGAATGTCTGGGACGAGCTTAATATCCCCGAGATCTCTGTTCCTCTGAAAATTTGCTTGAAATTGGCCAATGGGCACCAAAATGAATGAGAAAAGGAAGGGGGGCAGCAGACACACAATCCAATCACATCAGCCGTGCTAGTTTAGGAAATCAGGCTAAAATTAGTACAATACTCAGTGAGACCGTTTCCAACGTTGTACTACCACAGCAAGCTAAAGCTTGGGGTATTTTTAAGAATTTAAGCTGCATTGCAGACACATGTGCAAATACAATTACCCTGAAAAATGAAACCACCTCTGCAGAACGTTAAGGACCTAATGCCCCAATTTCCTCAACGGGAAGCCTTCATTAAGTCTCAGGAGCTGCCTTTCTGCTCTTTCCAACTACAGACCATATGTATGGTGGCACATTGCTGCATGTCCTCCTTGCAGGGCATCCCTGTGCTTCCTCAGACATCTCCCCACCAGCAGCAGACAACACTGGGGTGAGAGGTGGATTAATTACATGGGAATAAGGCTCCTAATCCAAGGAACATGCCTGTGCCTGAATAGAGGAGAACTTCATGTTCCCATTAGGAAAATCAAGGATCTCCCTTCTCCAGCTGAGCAGTTCCCTTCCTTAGTCCTAGTCATGAGACAATGTTTTGGAAAAAAACAGTCACTGGTCCCTACTCCTGTCTATTTTGGTGTCTAAAGAAAGCTAAATTTGGAAGGGAGAGAAGTCGACCTTTTTGTGCAGTGAGCTGATGTAAAAGGAAATATCAGCAACTTGCAAGAAGGGTGGAGTGGCTGGAGAAGACCAAGGGTGCTGAGTGGGTGGGGACAGGCCAGAGTCCCAAGGGCATGATGAATGCCTTGATGACATGGCTCTTGGGTTTGTCTGGAGACTGTTCCTTGCCACGGGTCATGCAGGACAGCAACGGAAGTGCCTTCAATAGAGCTGGCTTGCTGAGGACAATGTGGATCTGAAATGCAGCTCTTCCATTTTTTCAGTGGACACACGCTTTATGAAGCTGAAATCCCTGAAGAGAGCCAAAGGGAAATGTCTTGCAAGGCAGAAGACCACCCTCCACTCCGCAATGGGTCTACAAGAAGACCTACACAAAACAGATGGGTTTTGCTCCTGCTTGGGCCAGAAGACACCATCAAGCCCAGGTGCTCATGGTTTTCATAGGCAGGTTTGCAACTTCTCAGTGGGCAGCAAAATCACATTTGGTCTCTCTCCCACATCGGTTTTATTTTGACATTTACTTGCAGGTGGCTCAAGGAGGACGTAACAAACCAACATTTCAGTGCTGCTGGTTTGGGAAGTGAGGGGTGTAGGAAAAGCAAAGAACAAGGAGCTCATGGTCTTAGGAAGGACCATTAATAGGGGTCATTTTCAATTTTGGAGCAAAACACTCCGCGGTTTACATGGTGGGAAGCTTAGAGCAGAACCTGAGAAGCCCATGGGACTTTTAATGCATGTACACGTATGTCAAGTTTAAATTATAAACATGCATGCTGTAACAAGAAAGGCCAACAGCTCTGGAAGAGAAGGGGCATTCAGGACCAGTCTGCTCTCTGGGCCAGTCCCCTGGAGATCAGTTACGTTGTGATGTGCATATTCATTTTTAAATGTTTCGGGGAAAGCAGCTCTTGGAGAAGGGAAGGTGATGTCTGGCAAGCTTAGGCGACTGTCATATGCACAGCTAGCGTAGCCCAAGGGAAATCTGTCATCTACCAAAATTGCTCCAAACAGACAGCAGATGGGAGCAGGTTTGACGACCACGTGCACTCTTTTTGTGCTTTACCTTCCCAGTGAAGGTGTCTGCCCAACCCTCAACCCCGTCCACGTGCCTGTGGGAATCCAGAAAGCCAGCAGCTGCCTCTCCACTGCCCCAGACCCATTTACATCAAAGTTTAATGAAAGAACAGATAAAAAGCTTTCAACATCTTGTTGGCAATCTGCAGCAACCCAAGA